CTGGAAGAAACTTGGACGGGGATTCTGTGCCCTCCCCCATGAGCAGCCTCCACTGACCACTGGCTTCTAGCCAAGACTCCGTCAGGGAGGACCTCTGTTCCCACTTGACCTGTCCCCCTGGTCACCTCACTGTCCTGAGGTAGGGATCCTAAAAGATGCAGGTGCCGCGAGAGGGGCTGTGTGTGCCGGCCACACTGAGTGCCCCAGGGGATGCTTGAGCCCCTCAGGCCAGGCCTGAGTGAGCTTGCAGCTGGCAGACCCATGGTCAGCCCTGAGCCTATGGCCCTGCAGCCTGCAGTCCAGCTCAGTCTACCCAGAGGCACCGGGGAGGGGGGGTGTCCTGGGCACTGGGGACTCCTCCCTGGTCCTAGACCTGATGTCCTGGCTCGCTGGCCTCTGGGAGGGCTGCTTGTCCACTTGCTTGCCCCGTCTCTGGTGATGTGGGAGCTCTGGGGAGGGTGTGGCGCTGTGGGCAGGTGGGGTCAGGCAGCTGTTGGTGGCGGCTCTGGCTTCCAAGTGGCTCCACGGTCTTGTGGACTTGGCTGTCCCGGAGCCTGCTCGAGGCCTCTCCCCAGGGAAGGGAGGCTCAGAGGCCTCCTTGGCTTCCTTGCCGTGTGCTCTGCTCCCCCCGGGGGCAGCGGCCTGTTCTGAGGTTGGTGTGCGCCCCACTTCTCCTGACACTCCAGACTGATGTGGGGGGGCTCTGCGCTCCGGGGAGGCGTCCGGGAGGCCCGAGGCGCCCTCCGTGTGGCTCTGGCTCCTTCTGCTCCTCGGCTCCAGTGCCGTGGTGTTAGTGCTGTTTCTGTTTTTGGAACTGGGAATCGCTTCAGTGCCCAGCGACATCCCCAGGCCTGTTGTTTATTTATTTATTTTATATGGAGACAGGGCCTCACTAGTTGGCTGAGGCTGGCTTTGAACTTGGATCCTCCTGCCTCAGCCTCCAGGCCGCCGGGAACATAGGTGTGCGTCAGCGTGCCCAGCTTGGTTTTCACATCTGCTGTGAGCAGGGCTCTGGGCTCTCCTGTGTGGCCCCCGCTTGTCCCCGGGCCTTCTGCTGGAAAGGCTGTTCTCTTCCCCCTGAGTGGCCCTGGCCCCCGCTGGAGGCCAGCTGACCTCAGCGTCGTCCGGGTGTGTGTCTGGACTCGGTTCTCACCCATTGGTCTCTGTCCTCTGCCAACGCCACACCCTTTATCACTCAGGTTTGTCCCCTGAGTTAGCTTATATCTCGTCTTGGCGGGACGCTGAGGAAGAATGGTGTGATGTTTGCCTTTTTTGCACTGGCATGCGAGCCGGCTGCTGGGGCGGGTCTTCCTGCTGAGCCCCGCAGCTCCCTCAGGTGGGCTTTGGGGTCTCGGTGTGAAAGATGTGGCCAAATAAATAAGAGGCTCCTCCCCAGCACGCAGACGTGGATGAGAAGTGTGGGGTTTGGGCCTTGCCTGTGGGGGCTGCGGCCCCGCAGGGCACGTGGGCACGTGGCGGGCCGTGCGTGTCACCCTCTCCACGTCTGGGCACTCACAGCAGCCCCTCTCCCGCTGGGTCCTGCCCTTTCTGGGCTTCAGACAGTGGACCGAGCGGCATTTATTCTTTTAAGTTCTTATTTTGAAGTAATTTTAGACTTAAATGGCACACAGACAGTGCAGAGAGTTCCCCTGCCCCCTCATTCCGTGCCCCTGTCAGCACCTGACGTAAGCACAGAGAAGTCTCCAAACCAGCCAGTTCCAGGATGACACCAGGGTTCAACCGTTGCCTCCCGCCGTCCCTTTCCTGGTCCAGGTCCCACGTGGGCCTTGGGCCGCCCTGTCTCCTTAGGGTCCTGGGATGGGCCAGCGCCTTCCCTTTCTTTCATGACCTTGACACTTTGCTTTTGGTGCTGGGGATGGGGCTCAGGGTCTCGTGCTCTGCAACTGGCCATGCGCTGGCCCCCGCCTTGGCATTCTGGAAGGGCACTGGTCAGAGCTTCGATGGACCACCTGTCCTGGCCGAGGTGCATTCCCCTGACCAGCTTGCGCTAGGGACATGGGGGAGGAAGGCAGAGGTGACGTGCAGATGTCAGGAGGCACATGGTGCCCATGCTGCTTGTCACTGGGCATGTTGGCCTTGACCCTTGGCTTAGGGGGCATCCCCTGGGTTTCCCAGTGGACAGTTGCTCTTTGTGCGTTGAAAGCCGTGCAGATACCCGACTCCTGAGGTGTCGACCCTGACTTCCTGCATTCCGTGTCACGTGCCCTTGCTGATTTCACGTCCCCTCCCTCCTGGCACCGGGTAGCAGGGGTCTTTGGGAGGAGAGCTGCCCTTCCCTCGTCGTTGAGTCTCTGAGTGTCTTGTAAGTAAAGACGTGTGTGTCTACTCTGTCGTCTGAGTCCACGCTGCCACTCTTGGTTGTGCAGTGGTCCCACGGGACCTGCTTCTCGTCCCTTCTGCATGCCCGCCGTCCTGCGCACATCCCTCCTCTCTGGCTGCACAGATGCCCCGGACTCACCTTGCCTCTTCCCAGGGCTCCGGGTGAGCCTCGGAGACCATGACCTGGGGCTGGGTGTCACTGCTCAGGCCGTGTCAGCGAGCGGAGTTTGGACTAGGGACGCGGCCTGCACAGTGGCACTGACTCACCTGTGGTCTGGGCGTGAGCTCCTGTAACAGAGTGCAGAGCCTGGGCGCCATCAGGCCCTTCTGAAGCCCCACCTGGCTGGCACCCTGAGCGGGTCCACAGAGTACCCTGCAGAAGGGTCACCTTCCTGCTGGGTGGAGGCAGGAAATGGCTCATCCTTTTTGAGGGTGTCTTTAGGCTGGTGGCCCTGGAGGGAGTGGGCTGGGTTGGGCGCTGAGCATCCTGGTCAGGTGGCTGAGGCTACAGATGAGGGCCGTCTCTGGCCCAAGGTGCCCAGTTAGCTCTCTGCCTCTCAGGACTGCACGAGGTCTGCCGCGAGAGGCGGACGTTTGGTCTGATGTGGACGCAGTCACACACACAGGGTCAGCCCTGGGCCGCTGGGATGAGTGGCAGTCGGATAGCTGAGACCACCTCTGCTTGGATTGGGCGTGGGTCCTTGGGGTCCCCAGGGATGGCCTCTGTGGTGGCAGGCCCCAGCATGGTGGTGCTACTGGCTCTTTACCTGTTTCCTGCTGCATGTTTCTCGCTGGCCACCAGCTGGCCCTGCAGAGGGCCAGAGGAGCGAGACAGGAGCCAGCACGGGCCTTGCCTGCCCAGGGCCTGTCCTGGCGGCACGTGCGGATAGCCCGGCTATGCAGTGGTGGGTCTTGCCCTGCTGGGGCGTCGGCTCCTGGGCCTGGCTCCCTGCAGGCTCTGCAGCGCTGCGGCGGCTCCCCTTTCCAGTTCTATTCTTAGTGCCCCAGATTTGCCCAGAACTCACAGTGAGGTCAGCAGGCCCGCGGGCAGCAGGATGCAGCAGCCGACCTGGGCCTTTCTGTGGTAGCAGGCTTGACTTCTGGAACGGGGACACTGGGCAGAGAGCCCCGGGTTCCTGTCCCCGCCTCCCCGCTGTCCATCAGGCTTCGTGCGCCACGTGTGTCTGGTGGTCAGTGAAGCGAGGCTGCGCCCGGTTCCGGTTCCTGCTGGTTCCTGCTTGTTCCTGTGTCCTCTTCCTGTCCCACACCCACCCAGGGTCCCACGGCATCAGCTGTCCCGTCTCCGTAGACTGGGCTGTCGTATCTCCAGGCTCTACTCCTGGCCATCTGCGGAGGGCTGTGATGGGTGGCGGGGAGCCCTTGCTGGGCTCTGTCTGAAGTTTTCCTCGTGGCCGGGTCGGGGAGGAGAGGCAGAGGTGAAGGGCCTCTGTGTAACGGGCTGTCCAGGCCATGTGCCACCCCATGGCGGGTGCTGACCCTCATTACTTGGCTGAAGTGGTCCTGGTCAGAGTCTGCACTGTGAGGCAGCTTCTCCCTGTGTCCCATGAAGGGGCACCTGTGCACAGCCCACGTTAGGGAGTGGGTGCTGTGTGGGCCACCTGGCCCCCGCCTTGACCTTGTCTGAGCAGAGCCCGGGGCGGAGTTTGAGGCCAAGCCTCAGTACCCCAGAGTGGCCACTGACCAGCTGTGGGGACCTGACTTCTGCTCCCTGAGGGGGCCATGGGGGTTGCTGGCCTGGCCCTTCACCCACTGTGGACAGGAACGATGGACAGTGCCTAGGCTTGGGCTAGGCCCTGAGAACTGGGCTTCCCCCCAGCCCTGGAGCCACCAGCCCCCCACTTTGGAGTTGGCATTGTTGCCCCCAGAGAGCAAGAGCGGGGCTGCTGTGCTCTTGGCAGCGGGCCCTCTGTGCCCGCTCGGATGCTCGGATGCTCTGTCCTGGTGGCCTCTGTCTTTCAGAACACGTGCTGGTGGCTGGTGTTGTCAGGGTATTTGTCAGACTTCGTCATTTGAAATTCCTGGTGAATCACAGAATCCAGGCCCCCGGGACGAGCGTCGCTGCCTGAAGCTCAGGCCCACTGAGGGGACCCTGGAGTTGCATGTTGGGCAGGAGTTGGCACTGGTGAGGCAACAGGAAGAGAAGGACACTGGAGCCTGGGCCACCTGTGTGCTGCAGGGGCCTGCGCTTCGGCCACTCTGTGAGGCGCTGGGTGTCACAGCAAGGCTGAAGGTCCTGTCCTGCTTGCAGTTGGCCCATGGGCGGGGCTTGAGCTCTGCGGGGAGCTGGGGCCCGTGGTGGAGTCCCCTGCTACCCTGCCCTGCCCTTCCTGTGCTCTGCTGGGAAGGAGGTGGCGGGTGGCTTTCCCTCTGACTTGGCCCGGCAGAGCGACAGCGGAGCCTCATGGAGGCTGTCTGGCTCGAGGCTCTCGGAAGCTCCTGGCTTTCGCTGGAGTGGCGCAGGCCGCTCTCCCGGGCTTAGGAGCTGAGCTCTGTGGGGTCAGGGGCTGTGCGCACGCGTCTCATGTTCTTGACCGTCCGCTGGTCCAGCTGAGCCCCAGCAAGGCCGCCTGCACCTGACCCACCCGGGAGCGGAAGGCCAGCCCCGCGGGTCAGGTGGTCCTGGTGTTTGTGCCTTCTAGGAGCTGCGGCTCACTCCAGCTGCCCGACAGGAAGAGGTTCTGCCGGTTCCTGGAGCTCCTGTCACCCCGCAGCCTGCGCCCCCTGGAGCTCGCCAGGAAGCTGGAGTGGGTAAGTGGGCCTGGCTGCCTCCTGGCTGTACGAGGCCGACACCATGCCTGCTCTGGGCGGTGGCTCTGGGCTGCACCCTGGAAGGGGGCCGTGGCCCGCCTCGTTCTGGGGCCTGTGACGTCTGGGGTCAAGTCATCCTAGACATGGGAGGCTCCACCTTGGGGCAGAGGTGGCTCTTGGATATTTCTTTGGTTAGTCCACGGTGTGTCCTCCTCCTGGGCACGCTGCCTCTGGTGCTGTGGTGGGGGAGCGCTCAGGATGTGCTGGCTTATCTTGTGTTGTGGACACAGAGTGGGGACCAGCAGTGAGGGGCTACAGCAGGGGTTCATTGAGACACACTGCATAGCACTCAGCGTCGCCCAGGGTCCAGTGCCACGCAGGCACCTATCCATGGCACGTAGGTGGCCACTCCTAAATGGGCTAGGCCTGGGCCTTTGTGTCCACGTGGAGGCCTGCTCTGTCCAGACACATTTGGGACCTGAATCCATGTGGGGAGCCACCCAGCTGTGGCCCATGAGCCAAGCCTGGCTCATTCTCTGATTTTGTAAATAAAGCTTTATTGGCACAGCTGCGCTTGTTCCTTTACGTAAATAATGGTGATGGTGGCAGGATGAGGTCATTGTGCCGGAACTCTGGCTCTGCAGATCTGAAACTATTTCCCGCGAGGTCCTGTAGAGAAAGCCCGTGGACCCCTCCTGGTGGGCACCGTGCTGGCTGCCCAGGGACCGCTGACTCCAGGCAGCCGCCTCTCAGCCGCCTGGTCCCCTCCACTCTGGCCCTTAGTAGAGCCCCGAGATTGCTCCGTGGCACCCGTTTCTTCCCCTAAACAGGTCCGTGTTTTCTGGGTCTCAGGGCTTTCTCCTGCACGGCCGAAAATCACACCTCGAGCTCCAGCTTTGCGCCCACGAGCCTGGGCAGAGTTGCGGCTCTGTGTGGTGCCATGCTGCAGCTGGGGGCGCTTCTGCGACTTCGTGGGCTGTGGGCACTTCCTGTAGGTCAGGACAGGCCTGCACTTGTTAAAAAATCAAAGCCAGTGCCCAGGACAGGCTGGAGCACCTGCTGCCGTCGGGGGCAGGGCCGTCGGTCTCGCCTGCCTCCTCGGCTTTCAGCAAGGGCCAAGCAGTGGTCACATGGTGGATTTCTCTTCTGTAGTTTGGGGTGCTTGGGTAGGAAGATGGGGTGTGAGCAAGGCCAGCCCCTCATTGGGTAGAGACCAGAGTCCCCGAGAACGCTCCAGCCAGCTCTCCGCCATGCTCCTCCTCCCATGGGGGGCTGGTTCCTCGGGCCAGGCCTGGGAGTCTTGGACACCTTCTAGGGGGTGGCCCTAGAGGTCCTGGGGCCACACTCCTGGGGACTAGCGACAGGCCGGCCAGGGAGCGCCAAGCCCTGCCTGCTCTCTCCCACGCTGTGCTCTCGCCTGTCGTCAGCGCAGCCGTGCTCCTGATGCCTTGACCTCACCCCCGGGGGGCGGGGGGAACCCAGGGCCTGGCCTCTAGGGATGCCACCAGCATGAAGATGCAGGCCAGGACGCACGTGGAGCAGACGGGGACCAGCGTCCCTCTGCTGCACTTTGAGGCCACTGTCCCTGTACGTTCACCCTGTGGCCACGACAATTTGGAGGGTGGGCTTGCGGTCACCTCGTGCCCTGTCTCTTGCAGAGGCTGTTTGTGCCTGAGCGTCTTTCCTGGAGGCCCAGGCGGAGCAGGCTCCCGTCAGGGAGGTGAGGGTACCGAGTGGCCATCTGCAGGGTCTGTGTGTTCTTTGGGAATTGTGCTAGTCCGGTGGTGACTGTGACAGACTGAACGGTATTCCCAAGCGACACCTTGATCCCTGGAGCCTGTGGCTGTGTCACCTCACGTGACTCTTCAGATGGGATCAGTAAAGGGCCCTGAGCTGGGGTCACCCTGGTCATTGGGGCCCAGGGTCACCACAGGGTCCTCGTGGGAGGAGGCAGGAGGGCCAGAGTCGGGGAGAAGCTGGACGACACTGCGCTGCTGGCCCAGGAGCTGGACGGGGGCTGGAGCCCAGGGCTGTGGGGAAACGCAAGGAGAGCCCCGAAGGATCAGGCCCAGGAGAGGTGCTCCTGGCCTCTGGCCTCAGACTGCGAGAGGAGGCAGTCGTGGGGTTACAGTGGCCAGGCGCTCGTGCCTAGGCATGTGGGCGGCCCTTCCTGCCTTCTGGGCCTTGCTCTTCCATGTCACCATGTCCCAGTCAGCCAGGGCCCAGGCCGCAGCCCAGCCCGTACTCGTGCTCTGAGTCCCTGTCGCTGGCGCACCTCCCAGACCTCTGGAGCCGCGGTTCTCCTAGCTGTGCCCTGGGCCGCCTGTATTCCTGTTTGTTCCTCTGGCCTCTGCAACTCTGACCATCCGGCCAGTCCTGCAGCGTCCAGTGTGTGGCCTCTGAGCCATCCTGTCCGGCACCCCCTGGGCTTCCTCTGGCCACCTCTGCTCAGCGCTCATCCTTGTATCTCTGAGCTGCTGTTCCTGCTGCCGGCCCTGCCTCTGGGACAGGCTGAGAGGAGCGCAGGAGCTGGCACAGTGGGCAGGGCGGGGACACGGGGGCCAGGCCGTGATGGTTGGGCAGCAGGCAGGAGTATCTGGCCCGTGGAGGAGCTGGCCCACCGCGTGCTCAGTGGGTGGGGTGAGCAATGGTGTTCTGGCACCTGACCTGTCTCCTCCCTGCACGGGGCTCCCCACGCAGATGGGACCACAGATGAGGGCTCCCCTGGCTCTTATTAGGGCAGCTTTGGGGGCTGCTGGTGGCCACCTGCAAGAGTTGTGCCTGGAGGTGCTCCTGCGTCCTGGCTGCCGGTGGGAGGTGCTTCAGTGGGGAGCCTCTACACGGTGGGGGCCCCGTGGGCCTGCGCTGGCTGGGGTGCACTGGGTGTTGGGGTCTCACTCCCGGGACAGGGACCTGTGGGAGCAGGTGGAGGGGAGAGCCTGGGGAGAGATGGCCCTTGGGTCCCCAGGGCGCTCTGACCCTCCATGCTCAGACAGCCCCTCCCACTTTCCAAGGACCCGTCCTTGGTTTCTGGGCTTTCGAGGAGGATGCGGGCCGAGCGCCGTTCTGGTCCCAGCCCGAGGCTGCTGCCTCTGCCGGGTCTGAGCACCTGCCCGATCAGACCGTCCCCGGCACCAGCCGCAGTGCGCGCTGACTGAGGGCTGGGGCAGCGTCCCGGGCTTCTCAGTGCTCACTGGACACAGAGTGGGGCCACCACAGGGTGGCCCTGACTCTTCTCAGCCTGCCTCCTGGTGGCCCATCCTGCTGCTGGGCACTTTGTCCCAGGGCCGGCATCCAGAGGGAGAACTGTGTGGTCGTGGGCCCCTGTGGGGTGGGTGAGGTGGACAGGACGCTGCCTGGCCACGACAGTTCTGCTGTAGGTGGGGTGGGGGCCTCACGCGCTCAGTGGTCTGTCCCTGCCTGTGGCTCGTGGGGTCAGCCCATGGGTGAGGAGCTGTATGGGGCAGGATCTTGGAAGGGTGCCCCCGGCTGCTGTGGCTGTGACCAAGAGAGTTTTTGCCTGCCACAGGTGGCTCTCAGCCTGGCTGATGTGTCCCTTCTTGTCACACTTCTCTGGCCGTCCCTGCTGGTTCCTCTCCCAGGTTGTGGAGGGGCTGGCTGGGCAGCCTGGGACAGCGCTTGTAAGAGGTGGTCGTGTGTGGCAGGACAGCAGGCTGCTGGGGCCTCGGGAGCCAGGCCCTGAGGCGTGTGGGGTCCCGAGCAGATGGCTGTGTGTGCGCGCGCGCGCGTGCTTAACAGGAGCTGTATTATAGAGACCCGGCACACGCACACACCACCCCCGCCTTGGCATGTGAGGGCCAGTGGCCTGCAGTCCACAGGGCGCTGCTCTCAGCCCTCCGGGGGCAGGGGAGGGTGGCGTTCCCACGGGACGGTGCGGGTGCTCCTGCGGCACACGGGAGCCAGGAGCCCTCTAAGTGCTTGGTTAATCCTGTCTTCAGAGTCCCTTTTTCCCTGTGAGGTGACATCCCACAGATTCCAGGGCTGAGGACATGGCCATTTTGGGGGACCATCATCCTGCCCAGCCAGCTGGCAGCAGAACAGGAGCTGGCGTCCCCTGTGGGTGTGTCTGTGTGTCTGTGGGGTGTGTGTCTGTGGGGTGTGTGTCTGTGGGGTGTGTCTGTGGGGTGTGTGCCTGTGGGGTGTGTGTGT